GAGCTAGTGGGGATGCTGTCTGCTCTGTGATACAGAGTCCTGATGACTCCTAACTTGTGCTCCAATCCTCTACCTGGATTATTGAGCATGCATCAGGATAAAACAATGAACCATTCAGGCATATGTTTTTTTTTTTTTTTTTATTGTGGAGAAACTGACTATTCTACTTTGAAGAAATAAAGCATAAAGTTAAAGGGAGTATAATTTACTCTGTGTATTAGTATTAGTATCCACATAACTGCAAAGGAAATGACAGGAAAACTGCTGAAACTAGTCATTTTTTGTTGTGCGTATAACTTCCTATAAAATTCAGTTTTCTGTTAGTTTTGGTCAAAGCTTGAAAGATCCGCTGCGGAGGGACCAAAGAGCCACATGTGGCTCCAGAGCCGCAGGTTGCAGACCCCTGGTATAGATCTAGTAGAGTGCTGTAGGAATGGGTAAATGAGGGCACAGATTGTGTTGTAAAGCACTTTTGATTATCTTGATAAGACAGAAAGGCGCTGTATAAGTACAGTTCATTTACCATTCTTGTTTGTAAAACAGAGTTATGATTGAACAACTGCAGTCTAACTCCACTTTATAACTGTTTTAAAATGAAACTTGTACCTGTTGTCTTAGACCGAGTAGTGTCTCTGCATTCTGCCTCTGTGCCTTGGCTTCATCGCTCTCTCCTCCCCACACCAGATAATTGTCCTCTCCATCGCGGTACATCGAGGGGCTCGGACCCCCTCTTCCTCCCACGCCTCTACCCTGTTGAAGGGAGAGGCTCATGCAGTGTCCCTTCTTGGTCGCACTTCCATTTAGAGAGGATCCGGTGTGATTGGACAGGGTGTCCCGGAGACGAGTTGACTCCTCGTCTAAACGGACGACTTTCTCTCGGAGAAGCTCAGCTTCGCTCTTTCGTCTCTGGAGTTCGTTCTTGCAGACTTCCAGCTCCAGGGTCCTGGTCCGGATGGTGGTTTGGGCTTCTTGGGTTCGAGTCTGACTTGCTTGCAGCTCAGAGCGAGCTTCTCTCAGCTGGGCCTTCAAGACCACAATCTCCCCTGCTTTCTGGCTGAGCTCCGACTGGATTTCTTTCAGCTGCTGCTTCAGGAGGGAGATCTCTCCAGACTTCTGGCACACCTGACACACACAGAGAAGAGAATTAAAGTGAGGCATCCTGAAAATACAAAGTTTTAAATAATCTTGACACTACCCTTAATTTACCACCTCCCCAGGAGCAGACTCCAACCCACCTCCCACTTTGTCTCTTCCAGACAGGGCCCCAGCTGAGTCTGCTCCCTCTGGATGGTCGCACACTTTCTCTCCAGAGTTTCTCTGTCCTGCAGCAGAGAGGAGAGGTCTTCCTGCAGCTTCTTCTTTTCTTGTTGCAGCTGAAACACCTGAAAACAAGTAAAGATCCAACTCTGAACAGCAGAAGCACAAGATTTTAAATAATTGTAAGAACATAATGCTCAAAATGATCATTTTGACGTTGAGCACATGGAACAGTATCAGACCGTTCAGATACCTGTAGCTGCAGCACCTGCTGGGCTCGCTGGGCTTTCTGAGACGTCTGCTTCATCTTCGAAGCGCAGCTCTGTCTCAACTCCTCCATCTCTCTTTCACAACGACGTTGCTTTTCCTCATAAACCTTGAAAGCAAAAGGTTACAAAATGTTTTTTTTTTTTTGGACAGGCATCATGTCCTTTTGTTTCTAGACAATGTGCAGAACTTTGTGTCTCACCTGGCAAATGGCAGCTTCATTCTCATCCAGATTTTCTCGGAGCTGCTGGAGCTCTAGGTCTCGTTCCCTCAGCTTCTCCTCCAGCTCCTTCACCACCTCCTCGTACCCCTCCACCGGTGGGGGCGAGTGGCCACAGGACCCGCTGTCAGACAGGGGCTGCCCGCGCCCACTTACTGACCCTGAACCTGTGCTCTTGCTGGAAGAGGAACGCCCGCTGTCCGAGTTGCTGTGACCGTGGCTCCCGTTTCCACCTGAAGCGTGGCGTCCCAGACCCGGCACAGGCTCCACCTGGCCCCCGGAACCAGAACCTGAGCTGGATCCCTCACTGGGGGCCAAACTGTAGCCTGTGCTGCTGTGGGTAGGGAGGCTAGAGAGGGAGTTCCTCCCTGAGTCTGACATGGAGCAGGACTGGCTGCTGCGAGCGTTGCGCCCCCCGCTGTACGAGTTCTGCTTCCCCTCGGAGCTGGAAATGCAGCTTCCACTATTACCGTTTGTGCCGGTGGTGCTGCTGGGGGCTCCGTGGGGCAACAGGAGGTTTAGGCTGGCCTGGCTCTCAGACGGCGTGCTGCCTCCTGTCCGTGGAGACAGGTACTGCACAGAGTGACGGTTCTTGGGAACAACTGGTTTGAAAGCTGTGGGGCGGATCAACACTTTCTCCATGTTCTGAAAATACAAAACCATAAAAAACATCATCAGACAGTGACTGAAACTCATCTGTGGATGGAAAACTATTAAGAAAAGTGTCAGTAATGATAATTAAAGGGCAGAGAAACAAAAGAGAGATGAATGTGGAGGAGATACAACAGTTAGGATACAAGTTTATTTTGTTCATCGTTTTTAATGACCTCCCTCAGAGTTTATTAAATATGACACTACACATAAATGAGCTCTGAAACTGATCATGATGTGTCTGCAAGGTGAGAAGCAGTCAAATGATTCATCTGGCCTCGTCAGGTTCGTGTCAGTGTCGATGTCAGTCTTATTTTTGTAGCACGTAAAAACAGCCGGGATGAGGATCAGCACCTCCAAATCTGAGACCATGGTCCTCAGTTGGAAAACGATGGATTGTCCTCTCCAAGTTAGGAGTTAGGTGCTGCCTCAAGTGAAGCAGTTCAAGTATTCTCAACGTTTTTTCACAAGTGAATGGAGTGTGAGCCCAACAGATCAGTGTAGCTTCCGCAGTATTGCGGACTCTGTGCCAGTCTGTTATGGTGAAGAGGAAGCTGAGCTGCAATGCAAAGCTCTCTGTTTACCTGTCGGTCCATGCTCCTACCCTCACCTTGATCATAAACTCTGTGTAGTGACTGAAAGAACAAAATCATTTATACAGGTGGTCAAAATGAGTTTCCTTGGCAGCCAAGCTGTAGAGTTAAATTTAGTTTTAACCAGATTGTAATCTCATTTAGACAGTTCAAGAGTGGTTCAACTGGATTCTATCTGTGAGGATTGTGGCTCCCTTGTTTAGTCTGGTTTCCTGTCTTTATGTTTTTTCCCCTCATGTGATTAGCTCCTGCCGTCTACCTGTTGTCTCTCCCAGATGTTTGTCCTTTCCTGTAATTGGTGTGTGTTTGTGTATAAGTCTGCTTCTACGTTTCTTCGTCAGCTGGTCATACTCTGGTGTTCCTTCAATGTCAATCCGTGTTCCTTGTGTTTCCTACGTGACTCCTATTCAAGTGAGTTTTGCTGCCACGTCAGTGTTTTTGTTTATTTAAATAAATTATATTTATTTTACTCCTCCGAGTTCTCTGTGGTCCACCTGCACCATTGGGTTCAACTTTAAAAACCACCGCTTACGACACTATCCAGTTTAAAAGGCAGAAAAACCTGGATATCATGATAAAGCTTCCCTGTTCAAAATATTGCAGGTTTTTTGCCTAAGATTTTTCCAAGAATAATGATGAATTCCTGGATTAAAAAAAGCAGACAAATAAGTTTTTAGCAATACATTTAATGTATCATGTAATCCTAAACTGTAACTCAAGAGGATATTTTTTCCTATCGACAGGACGAAGGTGACGGACAACAGCTCAGCAGGCCTCACAGCACAGAGTTGGTAGGGATTCAGTGTCATGCTGACAGTCACTTAAAGGTTTAAAGGAAAGGATTGTCTCTGCTTTACCAACCTTTTGTTCCAGGAGTTTCCAAAGAGAACATATTTATACCAGGAAAATATCATTAGAAACTCCAAAAAGAAAGTTCTCAGCTGGGATTTTAAGGATTAAAATAGTTTGTGCATTAACAAAATTTCTGTAGACTCCTCGGAGTTTGACCACATCTCAGTGATTTTATCTGTGGATTTGGTTTGTGGTGAGAACTACAATTAAAATTCTCTAAAATATAAAATCACGCCTTGAAATTGGGTGTAACTGAGCTTTTTGAGCTCTTACCAAGCCACAATAACTCAGGAGTCACCTTCAAATTTTTTAACTAAATTTTTATATATTTCCTCAAAAACATCAGACTCTAACCCTGCCTGCTCGAACAATGAAACAAAATATTTTTAAAAAGTCTTGGTGATGTTCATCTGTTGGGAAAATAATGACAAAACCATCTGTAGAGTCTGTGCTCTTACATTTCACATCATTATTCTCCTCATTAATTATTGACAAACTAAGATCAGTCTAAGCAGAGAATAAAACCTACAAGGTCAAAAAGAAAACCAGGGCAACTTTATGAGCAACTATAAATCTCCATCAGACCATAATCGGAGAATTCAGTGATGCTTCTTCGTGAGGACAAACCAGAACTCCACTGGGACCATGGTTTCTGAAACAAGTAATACTGTTTTATTTAAATGAGTAAAGTTATGGCTGAAAAAAAAAATCCTTCAACTAATGGCGGCTTATCTCAATGTGAAACACGATGGTGGTAGTATAATGGTTCATAAGCTTGCTATAAGAAACATTAGGTTGCAACAAAGTCCATGCTCAATAATCCAGGTATACAATCCAACATTTTTCAGTCAGGTCATCTGGACAGTTTCATTTTTTGTGCTGAAACGTTTCACCTTCAATCCGGAAGGCTTCATCAGTCAAGGAAATACACAACACAAAACTGATTCTTCCCCCCAACAGCTTACTCCAAAGTGGAAGAAACCAGTTTGGTTAGTGCTAGATGTTCTGTTGGGGGAAGAATCCGTTTTGTTGTGTTTCCTTGACTGATGACGCCTTCCGGATCGAAGGCGAAATGTTTCAGCACAAAAAAAGAAACTGTCCAGATGACCTGACTGAAAAATGTTGGATTGTATACCTGGATTATTGAGCATGGACTTTGTTGTTTTCAACCAGTTTGACATGACTGTCAACAAGGAAGAGGGTCGGCAATGGAGGAGGGGCGTACCAAACAGAATATCTAGCACTAACCAAACTGGTTTCTTCCACTTTGGAGTAAGCTGCTGGGGGGAAGAATCCGTTTTGTTGTGTGTTTCCTTGACTGATGAAGCCTTCCGGATCGAAGGCGAAACGTTTCAGCACAAAAAAAGAAACTGTCCAGATGATCTGACTGAAAAATGTTGGGTTTTATTAAAACTATTTGTTCTACATAAAATAATGCAAAGTTTTTATCAGGTTCCAATTTCTTGCAATTGTACTTACAGTACAAGTAGTTTGACACAGTTTTGTTTAAGATAAGCTCATATATTAATAAATATTTATCATTTTATTACCACAAAATGACCTTCTTACCTTCTCTAACTGTCCAGACACTGGGACAAGTTTAGGAGGAGGTCCTCCGATGTTGTCGTTCACCGTCCTGTTGTCCTTTTGGTCCTCAGAGTCACTGCAGGGACTCGCAGTTGTAATAACCAGGTTGTCGTTCCAGTCTCCAAGCACCACCTCGTTGTTTACATACATAAAGTTCCCATTACGGACACCGCCTGCTGCTCCAGTAACTGCTCCCCCACCACCTGTCCCGGCAGAGTTTCCAGGTCTTGGCAGCTTCTTGGTGGGCAGGGGTGGAGGCAGAACCTGGGCGTGAGGCTGTGTTTGGTTGCTGATAACCAGCAGCTGCTCCAGGGAGCTCCCGCTGTGGAGGGTGTTATCCTGCAGGCGAAAGCAGCTGGTGGCTGGCGTGGAGCGCCGTTGCTTGGTAGAGAATTCGTTGGCAGGTCTGCAGTGCCTCTCCTGGTACGTCCGCCCTGATATGAGACTGCTGACTGAACCCATGGCTGTCTCGGAACTGCAGGACCCACAGGGGCCAGAGCAGGGATCCGATGGAAGGTGGGATGGTAGCAGTCGGCACTGTTGGAGGTCAAGACCTGGGTTGGGATGGTCACTCACTGGTAGTGCCTGGACCAGAGCCATGGCAGCCTGACAGCATCAGACAAACCACACACTCTGATAAGAAAGAGAGAAAAATGCAAAGATGCAACTGTAAGACTTGCATTGTAAGAAGGCTGTATCCATGTGGTACACATTAGACGAACTCTAAACTTTTGCTTTGTTAATGGAGTCAACCAGTTTTATAGCAGTCTATAATTCAACAAATTCCTAATTAATAAATATATCTTTAATTTTCACCAAAGTTCATGCTCAATAATCCAGGTAAATATCCAACAACGTTCAGTCAGGTCATCTAGACAGTTTCTTTTTTTGCTGAGACGTTTCATCCATCATCCAACAGACTTCTTCAATCTGAGGAGGCACCAAACAAAACTAATTCTCCACCAACAGCATACTCCCCAGTGGAAAAAAAAAAACAATTTGCTGGTGCTAAGATGTCCGCTGGGGCCCGCCCTCTCCTCCGGGGCTTTGTTTGTTGCTTCCTCAGATTGAAGAAGTCCGTTGGATGACGGATGAAACGTCTCAGAAAAAAAAAGAAACCATCCAGATAACCTGACTGAACATAGTTGTATCCTTAATTTTCTTTCAAAGTTGACAAAAAACAATAAAAACAAAAATAAAGGTGGTGCTTACACATGTGAACTCTTACAACTGGTACTCAGTTGTTAAATTACATAAAAGAGTAAAGACTAAAATGTATGTGCTCATAAAAGTAGCCCACTCTGCAGCAATAAAGGTACAATTTCAGTACAAATTTTTCTGGACTCAGGTCTAAAGTTTGACTAAGTGTCAGGAAAACTCAACAGGAAACAGAGCAGAGGAACTCTATTTTTGTAAGTCATGTTAGTTTGCTAATATGTTATTCTACACATGCAATGCGCTTCAACATGTTCTACATACAAACTTCCAACTTGTCTCGTGTTTACCCTTCATACATTTACCTCACTAAATTAGCCAAGGTTATTAAAACGAAGAAGAAATAAAGAAGTCACAAGAGTCAACTGTAAAACAAAAAAATAGAAAAAAGTAATCTGTAACTTAAGAGCATTGAAATTCAGTCACCACTCAAACCTATCAAAACAGCTTTGAAGAAACGAACAATAGCTACATTCTGCTCTATTTTTAGGAGAAGAAACACAGGCGGATATTATTAACAGCGAAAGTAGCAGCAGATTTAAACAACTGTTTGTGGACTGTCTTATCAGTGTTGGTTGCCCAGGAGAGGACAGATGGGAGACACAGAAGACATATGTCCCCAGACTGATGTGCCAAGCTCAGGCCCCTCTAGCCAAGTAGAATAATCCCGAACTGTCTGCCAGGATGACGGGAGTCATACAACCCGATCCTCAAAGACACAAAGGCCACGGGTTCATTCACACCAAGTGATGGATGTCTACAACTGATTACTGAGTGAGTCTGACTCAAGATGCTGATCAAACACAGAAATAACTGTAACTCAGCCATTTTTACAGATATTATGCTAAAATGTGTTGCGCCATTAGACTAATCCCCAACACATTCTCCGAGCACTATCTCACAATATCACATGAGATCGTGCATTACATCCTTTACAAGCCCAATAAAGTTCAGTCAGGTCATCTGGACGGTTTCTTTTTGTTGTTGTTGAGACGTTTCATCCTTCATCCAAAGGACTTCATCAGTTTGAGGAGCCACAAACAAACTCAGTCCCATATGCAGCACACTCACATAGTGGGACAATCAGTTTGCTGGTGATAAGATGGTTTCTGGGGCCCGCCCTCTCCTCCATCGACTCCTCTGAGGCAAAGAGGTTCAAACCATCAAAGTTCATGCTCAGTAATCCAGGTAAAAATCTAACAAAGTTCAGTCAGGTCACCAGCAAATTGGTTGTTCCACTGTGTGAGTGTGCTACTTGTGGGACTGAGTTTGTTGTACTCCTTGGACTGATGAAGTCCTTTGGATGAAGGAAGAAACATCTCAACAAAAAAAGAAACCATCCAGATGACCTGACTGAACTTTGTTGGATTTTTTTTAAAACCTGGATTACTGAACATGAACTTTGACATCCTTTATAAGGTTTGACCAGAACAGCTATAACTCCTTCTCTTCTCAGCGTTAAATAATTTTAGTTTAAATCTCTGACATGAAAGGTGACAAGCGACATGCATTACAATAAGGTGTTTGTTAATTTTTATTGAACAGAATAGTTCAATGGTTCCTTCTCATTTAGTTCATTCTGATGCAGCCTTGGAGAGGTCTGCAAAGACGAGGAGTGATGGGGTGTGCATGAGTCAAGGAGCTGAAGATATGTGTGGTATGTGATTACTTTCAATGCTAAAATAGGCTCACAACATCTTTATCTTTTATACCTCCTTCTCCTCTTCCCTTTAGACCCTGACAAGGACCTCTCAGGCAAGGATAATAGAATTAACTACCTTCTGCAACCATAAACCATGACCCCCCCCCCCCACCACCACCACCACCACCACCACCACCCCCACCCTCTGAGCTGTTACCCTGTGGAGTTGCAGGGTGCTGATTTGACCCCTTCCTCCACCTCTGTGACCACCACCAGAGGGGTTTTGTTCTGGCTACTCTGGCAACAAATCTCTAAGGCAAATATTTCCCTCTTATGTTTCCCGCCGGTTCTTTCTTAAGAGTTATTGAAGCCCTAAACTCCTTCTGGAGACATTCTTCGGAGAACGTGAAAATACTTCTACTTTCATTTAATCTGCCCTCAACACTGTCAGCAGCACAAAAACAGCCATCACCTCTAAATATAGAAAACATTTATATTCCCTGGAAATCACTATGATTGCATTTCATGAAGTCCAAAACATTTTAAGTTAAATAAAGGATTCCTTAAAGGTATGCATTTAACTCACCTGGTTATCAAAGTTTTTAACAAACATCTCAGCAATCTGATAGTGCTCAAAATATGTGTTGAGTATGACTCTCAGCTACTACCACACCAAGTTCTAGCTCAATGTCTGAAAAATTATATGGTTATATCTATATTTGTGTTTGCTAAGGTCATTTAAGTGTGGTTTGCCATCTTGACCCCAAAAGAAAACCAGTTACAGAGGTAAACCAAATGAAGACTTTCTAAGAGCTTCAATAAAATCTGCCTTTCATGGCAGCGTGTGGTTACGATGCTGAACAGCTTAGAGGCAGATTCACTGAATTGCACCAAGTGTTTGAAGGTGTTTCCTCTTCACATGATAGCAACTGGCCCAGAATGAGTTAGAGTCGGGCCGACAGAAGAAAGAAGTTCTCAGGTAGTTTTCGAACGAGATCCAGAAGTGGACTCTGTGTTGGTAGTGGTGGGGGGGAGAGTAATCCTGTTATAATAAGTCTGTTAATAATGCAGGGAGAGGAAGTCTATTATTCTGCAGCAGCAGATTGGCATTTGCAATCACACGCAACGCCTGAGCCGTTACGCTTCGCTCGGCTTTACTTTTCTCAGTTAGAGAAGTGAGAATGGAGAAGAGTGGGAATGGCTTTAAGAGGCAGGGACACAAAAGGCCAGCTTGATGTGGGCTGACTGACGGGCTTCTACAAACTCCAGAAGAACCCAAGTGCTTGGGAAAACCAGGCATCCATAATCCGGTTTAATATTTGGCAATCCAAAGATCTTTAACAAAATTGCACACGAAGAGACACACGATCGAAGTCTTTCTTCTACTTGTTTTGGCCCGTGTCTATCTATGCATGTGTATATTGCTTTTTATGCATTGTGAAGCACAGTCCGGCCTGAACCGGCCTACATTAGGCCTAGTGCCGGTCTTCCTGGGCTCTGGTTTTGTTTTGCTTTCAACAGAGTGCCACCTCGATGTGGGTGGGATCATTACATCAAGACTGAGCAAGTCTCAGCTCAGCAAAAACTGCACCTCGTTTCTTGTCCATCTGTTGTGTTGCCATTTTTCTAAAGACAAATAGGAACTCTCTCTATCCATAACCAAACAGAAGCAAGTAGATGATGGACGTGGTGGTAAATAGCAATCACTGGAAATATGACTCATCTGTGATGTGACACAACCTTCCCTCCTGACCCGTGAACCAATCAATGGCCAGCACTCTGCTGGCATCAAGTCCAGCCCAGTATGAATGGAACCCCAGGTGACTGGGTTATGAGCTGGAACTGGACTAGACTGCCCAATGCCAACACTAAAAACCTGGGATGGAACCCGGCTCAGATCAGTCCAGGCCAGACTTACAATGCATAAGGGTGTGTTTGTGAGCTCGTTTGTGGTGTTAGCAAAACATTGCATGAACCAGTGAACATTTTTTGTTGAAACTCTCTAAAAGTAATTTTTGGATTGGATCTTTTATAGGGGAGCATGGTGGCACAGTTAGTAGAGCTGCCGCCTCTCAGCGAGCAGGTCACTGGGTCAAATCCCCGCCAGGGGTCTTTCTGGGTGGAGTTTGCATGTTCTCTCTGTGCATGCGTGAGTTTTCTCCAGGTACTTCAGTTTCCTCCCACAGACCAAAGACATGCATGTTAGGCTGACTGGTAACTCTAAATTGTCCCTAGGTGTGAGTGAGAGAGTGAATTTGTTTTGTCTCGTTTTTCTCTAGGTGTCCCTGTGATGAACTTGCAACCTGTCTCCAGGGTGTACCCCGACTCTCACGCATTGATAGCTGGATATGAGCACCAGTGACACCCCGTGACCCGAAAAGGAAGAAGCAGGTAAAATATAATGGATGGATCTTTTGTAATGAACCCAATCTAAAATGGCTGCCAAAGCTAAATGACTTTAACAAACATAAAAACTGAGTACTACTCGGTCAGTTTTACAGATATTGTCATAAAGGAGAACGACCAGCTGACACCAGTGTGTCTGCAGTCATCTGGTTTTGTCCCAGAAATTCCAGGTCAAATTTTCTCTCCATTAGGTATCAAGTTCAGATGGTCACGTTGTGTTTTATTTCACCTCAGGACATGCAGGTTCTTAGATTTATGGCAGAGCTGCACAATATCTGTATCACAAAGGACTTCCTGGACTGCAGTAAATCACTGACTATGACAGACTCTCACTGTCCTTGAAGCCAACAACTTTA